GAGATTAGGGATAGAGGTAAAAATTTAAAACAGAGGCTATATAAATTAGGTAGGCAATTATTATTATTATTTTTTAACATATATATTTTATTGATTTTTTTTACAGAGAGGAAGGGAGAGAGATAGAGAGTTAGAAACATCGATGAGAGAGAAACATCGATCAGCTGCCTCCTGCACACCTCCTACTGGGGATGTGCCCACAACCAAGGTACATGCCCTTGACCGGAATCGAACCTGGGACCTTTCAGTCCACAGGCTGATGCTCTATCCACTGAGCCAAACCAGTTAGGGCGGTAGGCAATTATTTTATTGATCAGGATCATTTTGCAAACCATGCACAAGACTACATAGGAATGGAGATGCAGTGATGAGCCATATTCCTTAAAAAAAGTTGTGAATGTTTCATTTTTTAAATCAAGTTCTAATTTAAACTTAATGTTTAGAAGCCTTTCATTATGCTAGCAGTCACCCCTAATTTACCTCCCAAAGTGGCTCTCTGGCCAGAGATTTTGAGTGCAACAAGGCATGACAAGCCACCAGGTTCTGAGCTTGTGCACACTGCTGGGCTTGGAATCACTCCCTATTACTCCTTGAAAATCACTCCTTATAAGGGAAGACGCCCCTTCCTTGAGTATGCCATGGTCACCAGAGTCAGGAATATTGGGTAACAGGAGGGACAATAGTCAAAGCAGGAATGTATTTTGGCTTCTTCTAGAACACTGAACATTCGTTCAGTGAGGTTTGCCTCTTATAAGATATGATCATGTTGTTATTCATGAGTATTTTAGAAACTGAGATGAATCTCTAAACATTAAATAATGGTATAGTCCTAAATTTACAAAGGCTAAGACATTAAATACAAGGTATAAAATTCTAAGAGTAGAAAACATAAAATACTTTTAAAAGGAAATTAATTACATTTGGCTGGGGTTTGGGTGGGGGGATAGATAGGTCAAAAGGGGGAAATGGGGAGACATCTGTAATACTTTCAACAATAAAAATAAATTTTTTAAAAAATGCATCACAAACCCAAAGTTAAGAAAACATTCGAGTATTTTTTTTTTCCTTACGTGAAAGTGCTTATTTAAATTTTAGGAGGTTAAATATCAAGCATTTAGCAAATTCAGCCACAAAGAAAGCAGATCAATGAGTGTGGTCCATGATCATCCTTTTTCTTTTTCTAAAACTATGCATACGAGGAATCCCAGAACTAAGAGCAAAAAATAATATTCCAAGAACTCTAATGTTTGATCCTATAACTTAAACCTAAATCAATATAATTCACTGAATATGTTTTTAAAATCAATGTTAAACTATATACACTCCAACTAAAAAGCCACACATGAAGTTCAACAGATAGTTTTTTTAAAAATCTAAAAATATTAATAAACTCAAAGAGAGAAGACATACATATGTACATACAAAAAATTTGGAGAAAAACAATGACATAACTACATATAAAGGAAAATGTGTACAATAATAAAATACTATTAAATACTTCATGCCAATAGATCTGCGCCAAAATTGACAATTATCTTTAAGAATATAAACAACACTTTTAAAAATGGATGTTTATGTGTGTATGGGGGTGGCTTGTTTAAAAAGACAATTGAATTTGACCTATAACATTTTAAAAATACAATTAATAATTAAAAATCTTTCGAATCCCTCCAAAAACCAGACCCAAGTTTTAAGGAATTTTTTGAATATTCAAATTCTTCCAAGACTAAAAAAGATGGAAATCTCTCAAATTCCTTCAATGAGGTTAGTTTAACTTTGATTCCTCAGGCAGACAAGGGCAAGCAAACCCAACCCCACAGTGAATGAAAGATATGAACTGCCATATCAGAATCATATCATTGTTGTGTGCCTTTTAACATATCCCTGGGATTATAAAGGTGAACCTAAAGAGATGCTATTATTGTAGAATTGGTGCAAAGGATACATTATCCCTGAATAAATGGAACTAAAATATAGTCAATCTTCTATAGCTTACTCTTGGAGTTATCATCAAATATTAATGAAAGATTGCTTTGTACCCAAAAAAATAGGTTCCTCTCATTTTCAGTGCTGTTATTTTTTTTAATTTAGAAAGAATTATCTCTCTTTTGCAAAAGTTGTGGAAAAGCTACTGCAGTATTGTATAGCTATTTTATAAGTATACTAAAAATTTTATGGGAAGAAAAACAATCACAATTCAAGAATTTTATTGCATAATAGAAAAAACACACACTCAAGTATGTATACTTCGAGGATCGATACCAAATGAAGACAAAAATATATCCTACAAATTTTATATATCTATGTAACCTCTCTTGATCACCAAGAACCAAAAAGAGTAAGATTCTATTAAAATGAAATAAAAGCATTGACAGCCATGAGTTCACCCTTAGGACATAACAAACCATTGGTGATAAAGTCATTTATAGAGAATATTATCATTTGACCTTTATAATGTATTTTCTCCCTGCTGATATCAGACTAGCTTAAATTTGAAAAAAAAATCATTATCTTCTCATGAGCTAACATTGTCTCCTCATGCACTACTTCCAAGAACTACTAACAGTAGAGACTTTTAGAGGAAAATATTAAAGAAAAAAAGACAAATTTAAAAGTACAAATTAGTAATTGCTTAATTGCATTCATCTATCATAGTCAAAGCTACTTTTTATTAGATTAGCTTTCTAAATTGAAGGAGAGCAGAAAATATATTTAATCACTTAAACATAATTTGAAGCATACAGCATACAGAAGGGATCTTCATAATAAAACATTTGCTATATTCATTTACATAATTTTATAATGTTTTAAGCTAAAATTTATCTCTCAACTCTTTATTACACTCATATATTTAAATTGCTTTAGCATATCAAATTAAAAAAATGTAGTATACATTAAAATAAATGAACTAGAAATCACTTGTTCACCTCATTCTCATTACTTTCAAGATCTCTAAAACTTCTATTAACCAAATCAATTTTTAAAAAGACAAAAAAAAAGTCAGTTTTAGAATTTCTCTGTACTAGTATTCCTCTAAATTGCACCTTGTAGGTGCAGCTACAATAAGTAGATGAATAAATAAATAAATTTATTTCAACGGAATAGGAATTTTATTGAAACTATCCTATATAATAAAAGGCTAATATGCAAATCGACCGAACAGCAGAACAACCAGTCACTATGACGCACAGTGACCACCAGGGGGCAGGCGCTCAATGCAGGAGCTGCCCCCAGCCCGCAGGCCTGGAGGCCTGCCAGCCAACCTCTTGGTCCCTTCCCCCGGCCGGCAGGCTCCGATCACCCAATGGGGAACGGGAAACCAGGGGTGGGTGGAGGCAGATGCGGGCGGTGCCAGGGCCCTGATCGCCCGCCCCACCAATCACCCCACACACAGAGGGCGACTGGTAGCAGCAGCGGGGGTGTAGGGCCGGCTGCTGGCAGCCAGGGAAGATCAGCCCTGACCGCAGGCCAGGCCTAGGGACCCTACCCAGGCATGAATTTTGTGCGCCAGGACTCTAGTCCTCCTATATAATAAAAGGCTAATATGCAAATCGACTGAACAGTGAAACAACCGGTCACTATGATGCACATTGACCACCAGGGGGCAGATGCTTAACACAGGAGCTTCCCTGGTGGTCAGTACACTCCCACAGGAGGAGCACCACTAAGCCAGAAGCCAGGCTCACAGATGGCGAGTGTAGCGGCAGTGGCAGGAACTTCTCCTGGCTCTGCGGCAGCTCTATGGACCCCTCCGGGGATGTCCCTTGAGGGGTCCTGGACTGTGAGAGGGTGCAGGCTGGGCTGAGGGTCCCTCCTCCCTCCCCCGAGTGCATGAAACTCATACACCGGTCCTCTGGTACTTTTATAAAAATCCATGATATCCCCACTCCTAGAAATGCCACACATAGTTCTCACTGCAGCTATGCTAGATTCTAGAGATATGAAGATTTAGTCAGTGTTCCTATATTCAACAAGCTTATGGTCTAGTAAGTCTCACTATGAAGAATAAGATAGTTGGACTCAAAGACAAATAACTGATGATGGTAAACAAAGGGGTCCCCCCAAGAATGCTGACTACAGATATTAGCACTTTTCAAGACACTAAGACAATGTAGAATGAGATACAAACTTTCTTTAAAAGTATTTATTTAAGGTTGAGGTGGTGTGAATTCATTGGTATTCAAAAATTTTCCCAATATTAGAATTAAAAAGATATTTCTCAAATTTGCAGATAGTTCAACATAGGATAATAAAAGTACTATCTGTATAAAAAGAAGAACTAATAAAACAACAGGAAGTTATACATACTAAGATGAACATACATGTAGGTTTTTAAATGTTATAAATTAATGAAATTCATTCCATATTAATAATTTTAACACACCAGCATCGAGTCTAAAATAAATGGACCCTCATAAACATATTTCATTCTCCTCTGCAATAGATTCTGCAAATGAAAAGGAATGATCACATAGTATATTCTCAGAACCTGCTTTCCTTGCAACATATCAGTGCTTAAACTAAAAGCAAGTAAGTAAAATTCTAGCCCTTAACAGGAACTTTCAAATTACAATTATTTTTAAAATCCTAAAGTTGAATAAGGTCTAAATTTTAGAAATAGTCAACTCTACACATAGAGGTATAGAAATCTATTAAAATATAACTCTATAACACTTAAAGTGACTTTGGTCACTACCTCACCCCCTTAGTTATGAGCTTTTTTATAGGATCTTATTTGTAATACCCCGTCATGAACAAAACAATCATGTACATGTGAACTGGTAGTTATCTTCCATTAAATTCTGTGTAAATGTAACACTGCCCTATAGGAAAGAAGGTAAATAGTTTGATCTTTATCTCCCAATTATCTCCTGGCAATAAGAAGGATATGTTTTGACACTAATGTCCTATTTCCATAACTTAAAAAAACAAGCCTCTCTGATCCGAAGCTGGGAAAAAGTGAGAGACAACACGTTAAAATGTATCATTAACATATTTACCGGTTTGATTCGAAGCTGACCACCCACCACCTCAAGAATCGCATGTCTTCTGGACACTCTCTTGTCTGTTATCTACAGTGGGAAAAAATAAAAATTTCAAATACAGCCACCTCCCCAAAAAACAACAATAACAACCACAACAAACCATGACTGTCCTCATTGAACAAAAAAAAAACAACAACTCAGAGATTAAGAGACCTGCCCCAAATTCAGAGAAGAATAAATGGCTAAGCAGAGACTCAAGCTTGCAATCTAACAAATCCCAAAACCTACATGATGGTTTCCATTCAAGGCAGACATTTAGTGGTGATTCATAAAATGAGAAAAAATCTATATAATATGTACTTATTAGAAAATATTTCAAATACAGGAAATGTAGTGTAGGTTATGATGACCAAGAGCTTTTAAAGGCAGCAGTCTAGTAAGTGTAAATGGTAAGGCTACAGGCTTTAGGGTCAGGCAGACCTGCGTTTGAGCTCTGGAGCCATCAGCACTACTTAAGACAACAGGAAGGTAGGAGAGGGAGTGGTGACAATCAAATGTTTACAGTGAAGACGAAACTATCATCTAATATATATATTTGCTCTCTGTGTTTGAGCCAATAGTGCTCTACTTATGCTCACAATCATTTCTGCATACAAAAGTTTAAAAACTGTTTGCACTTTAAATGCTAAAATTGCCAGTCAAGCCCTGTCTGCATGGCTATAAACACAATAGTTCAGATTACCTTTGTAATTTGTGGCTGATTCATATGACAACATTTCAAGCACCAATTTAGGATAATTATTTGGTCCATCTTATAGTTATCTTGGTATCTATCATTTACCCACATCAAAACCAAAATTATAGGTAAAAGCAGACTACAGCAATGACTAAATTCAATTAAATCCATTAGATTTGCAAAACCTGGCAAAATGTGAAACTACCAGGAATCAATACCCATTTTTTTAAGCCAGAGAGCAGTTCCACACTTAAGACTGTAACTAGAAAGTAGTAACATCAAGCATCACAGCAGAATGAATTACACATCCATAAATTTTCCACACAGCTGCAAGTTAATATTTAGAATATTTTCTAAAATAATGTATCTTTTTTATTGTTGAAAATATTACAGATGCCCTCTCTTTCCCCCATTGTCTCCCCTCCTCCTCACTCCTGCCCCCTCCCCAGGCCTTCATTGAACTAAGTATCTTAAAGGAAGTCCTATTAAAATTAGCCACTATTAGCCGCCATGGTTATTTCAGAAAAGTAAATATAAACTATAATGTATCCTATCAGAAAAGGATAGAAATTCAGAAGTTCCTATAATCTTCCCAATAATGTACTTTAGTGGGCCAAAATCAACAGCAGTTATCTGGTAACCCACTTTGCCATTTGCATACAGCTTTCACTTAAGTGTTGAGATTCATTACAAACAGTACTCAATACTGTTATAGCTATTACTCACATTTTACATATTTGGAAATTGAAAGCTTAGAGAATTTAAGTAACTTCTGTAGGTCATTTTTGAGTAGGTAGTCCTCCAAATTCATACTGTTATTAATAAAAATATGTGAGGAAAATATTCATGTGATCCTACATCTACATGTAATCATCAGACATAGTTTCAATAAATGCAAATTATTCTGTAGCTGAGAGTAAGAAGTTTATATTTCTAACTCGAATACTAAGATCTCATTGTTAAGTTCAATAATACAAGTCAATTTGCTAACCAATACTACCCTATATTATAAAAGCCCAGCGACTGAAATGGCAGGATGACCAGAACGACCACGGCCCCTGATCAGGCAGGCAGGCAAGTGGTTAGGGGTGATCAGGCAGGCAGGCAGAAGCAGTTAGGGGCAATGAGGCAGGCAGGCAGAGGCAGTTAGTGGCAATCAGATAGGCAGGCAAGTGGTTAGGGGCAATGAGGCAGGCAGGCAAGTAGTTAGGGGAGATCAGACAGGCAGGCAGAGGCGGTTAGGGGTGATGAGGCAGGAAAGCAGAGGTGGTTAGGAACGATCTGGCAGGCAGGCGAGTGGTTAGGGGCAATCAGGCAGGCAGGCAGAATGGATGAGGTGATCAGGCAGGCAGGCGAGTGGTTAGGGGTAATTAGGCAGACAGGCAGAGTGGATAGGGGCAATCAGGCAGGCAGGCGAGTGGTTAGGGGTGATTAGGCAGGCAGGCAGAGTGGATAGGGGCAATGAGGCAGGCAGGCGAGTAGTTAGGGGAGCTCAGACAGGCAGGCAGAGGTGGTTAGAGGCGATCAGGCAGGCGAATGAGCAGTTAGGAGCCAGCGGTCCCGGATTGTAAGAGGGATATTCAACTGCCAGTTTAGGCCCAATCCACAGGGATTCCTGCGGGATCGGGCCTAAACCAGCAGATGGACATCCCCCAAAAGGTCCCTGATTGCGAGAGGGTGCAGGCTGGGCTGAGGGAGCCCCCCTCCCATGCACAAATTTCATACACCAGGCCTCTAGTAGAGTAATAAACTGTCAAACATAAAACCATGACACATAATGATGGTTCTTTTTTTTTTTTTTTAATATATTTTATTGATTTTTTACAGAAAGGAAGGGAGAGAGATAGAGAGTCAGAAACATCGATGAGAGAGAAACATCGATCAGCTGCCTCCTGCACATCTCCCACTGGGGATATGCCCGCAACCCAGGTACATGCCCTTGACCGGAATCGAACCTGGGACCTTTCAGTCCGCAGGCCGACGCTCTATCCACTGAGCCAAACCGGTTTCGGCACTTTTTTTTTTTTTAAATGATGGTTCTTGTAATTGTCCAGCTTGGGTTTCTTTTTTTCCAATCTATATTTTTGCAGGAAGCAATAATAGACTCTTCCTAGCTGTATGAAGTAGGCTTCACTGACAGACACACCAGCAAGAAAGATTTTTAAATAATATAAAAGTATAATATGACCTCTAGTGGTCATATGACTCCACACAACGTAATTTCATTGCTAGATGTGCATCTCTATAAAGAACCAAAAAAGTCCTTTAAAGTCTTTGAAATTAACATCCCTCAGGCATTTAGCTATAATCGTCCCTTTTAAACCATACCTCTAACAAATGAGTAAGTTTTAAAAATATTATGTTTTCTCAACAGAAAGCTTAAAGGTTTAATAAATTATCATTAAAGCTTATTTTAATTTCAGGATGGGGTGAGAAGGGTGGGTGGTAGGTGGAAGGTAGGTCACAAATAAATTATCCTAAATATCTTAGGACCTACTTACTTTAACAGTTGATCACTGCTCCTTGTGCAGAATGAATACCCACACATTGTTATTAATATATTAACTGTAACAGCAATCATGTATCAAGAACACTATACATATCATGTATTATCCTTTGTAATCTTCACAAAATCTGTGAAGAAGATACTATTATCTTCCTCTTTATAGATGAGAAATGGCGGTACAGAGAGATTAAGCAACTACGTGAAGTTACGTAGCCAATGAGCAGTGGAACCACGATTTGAACTCACAGAATATGATTCTAGAGATACCTTTGCTCTTAACACTGTACTGCCCTCATCATCATTAGGTTAAACATTATTTTTTAGATTATTTAATACAATATACGAACAAAACTGGAAATAAAGCAGAATGGCTATTTAAACAGCAAGTAGACATTCTGAGAAAATTTAAGCTCTAAATAAAGCTCCAAGAGGCCTCATTTCTCACTTGGTCCTGTTTATTCTAACGGTCATACCCAAGTCTAACAACATGTGTTATCTAAATTCCCAATTCTCTATTCACAGTACAGAATAGAGTAGACATGGTTTAGTAAGCAAAGCATTGACAATGGGGTGGGGATGGGAGAAATGACTAATGTTGGTCTGCAAGTGGAAAGAGAAAGACTATAGAAAAGCAAAGAAACCCCAGGATTCAAAAAGAATATGCTGGCTAGAAGCTATTGAGAGTAGGGACAAATGACATAACATCCTTCAAAAGGTACTAAAGTCTTACCCCAAGTTTGCTTATTGATTATAGGAGTCATCAATAAGTGAAAACTTCATTTGAAAGTCAGACATTTTGGTATCTTAGCCATAAAAATAGTTAAAATCACGGAATTCCAGTTTCATATAGAATAACTGTAGCCACATAAAAATCCTAATCATACCACATACCTCCCACCAAATCTAAGATCAATAAATAAAGCAAATAGCCCTAACTGGTTTGGCTTAGTGGATAGAGCGTCAGCCTGCGGACCAAAGGGTCCCAGATTCGATTCCGGTCAAGGGCATGTACCTTGGTTGCAGGCACAACCCCAGTAGGGGGGTGTGCAGGAGGCAGCTGATCGATGTTTCTCTCTCATCGATGTTTCTAACTCTCTATCTCTCTCTTCCTCTCTGTAAAAAATCAATAAAATATATTTAAAAAATAAAAAATAAATAAAGCAAATAAAACCAACTATATCACACATCTAAAGTACTAGGAGACAGACATCACCACAAACTTTAATTTACATGTAAGAGGGGAAAGAGACATCAAATGCAGAAGATCAAGCTTCAAGACCTATGCTGCAACCCACAGGTGGCAACTGGGAGGAAAAGAAAGAGAGAAGAGAGGACAGTGAGTCACAGATAGTATCACTCCCAGAAGAGAAGTCACACCTTGAGTGGGAAATGCTGAAAACACATCTCACATCCAGCAGTTCAGATGGCCAGCAAAACTGGGAATAACTTGGGCATCAATATGAATAATGATTATAAGGGAATATAACACAAACAATACAAAAATAATCCATGAATTCATACTGAACTAAAGAAAGGGGCTGGGGCTAGGGCTGGGAGTAAAAGCCTTCCTTTATAAAACAATGCCTGCTAAGGTAGAAGAAAAAAAAGTATCCAAAAAAAATCAGTATTTTGTAACCACCAAAGTATGAGCTGACTCAGTAAAGGATCAATGGATGTTAATTTTCAGGTGAAAGCTTGATGGGAAACAATATTTATGAAGTCTCAAGGCATCACTCCACAGACTACTCACAAAGGGAATGTTCTCTTCACTGGAAGAAATCTGGCACCACCTTCCCCCACTCATCACACTAATAACATCACGGCGAACAGAACAACCAAGAGCTG